GAGTATTAGTAGACTGTCTGCTTAATATCTGTTAATACTGACATTCAACAGACATTAAACTGACTATAAGAAAATTATCAAGTACATGTCAACTTATACCAACCCTAACCCCAAACTAACAGTCTACTTATAATCTATCAAGAATTAGTTGTCACGTAGATGCAATGTAACTTACATTCAACAAACAGACCATCAAAATAAAGTGCATGGGTCATTGTAATGTCAAAATACATTGTATGGGTCAAAATGTATACATTCTTATATTAGAATATTAAGTAAAGATCATCTTACTTGAAATTATTTTGTGAATTTCCAAATGTAAATATATCAAAACTTAACTTTGCACTCAAGAGCATTGCACAGCTCTGAGCATGCAATGCTTTTAATGTGCACACATAGCCCAGCCCGCTTACCCTATGCACAGTGACAACATCACTAGCTCTATTAAGTGCATTGTGTCTGACATGCCATTTGTGGGACTGTGTGTCTCAATCCAATGTGCAAGTCTGCAGTCAGATCCTATTGCTTAATCTGGATTGATTTGTTTTTATTTTTGATCCTTCAGATTACAGATTTTCAAAAAGTTGAAATAGTATTTCAGCACAATATTATCTTAAACTATCCTAACCTAACAAAGTATACATAAATGGAAAGTGGCTTTATTGTTTGTGTAGTTAAAAAAACCCTCCAGGGTCACATATATCATTGGCATACATTATAGTTCTTTAATCTTTAGATCTTGTTTTTTTTATGAGGACACATTTCTATGAAGAGATTATAATTTATGATGAACTGTTTCCATAGGATGTGGTTTTGTTAGAGACAGAGGAAGCGCAGAGGCACATAAGGGTTTCATTGTCTTAAAGAAATATTTCAGCCAGACAATAAACATGCTGTCATCACTGACTCATCTACGCTAGTGAAACAAGGAAGATATTTTGACGAGATTTATTTATTTTGTCGATACAAAATGGAAAAAAAAAAATTGCCATTCTTTGAATTGTCAAAAGCATTATGTGACTTCACAAATATAATTTGAAATATAAATATGAACTGAATCAATACAATACACTGTCACAATAAAATACTTTCATTTATGTGCAGTTTAAGTTTATGTATTCGAGACACTATCTTGCCAAAATTAAATGTTTTGAGATTCTGCATGATAGGGCCAATGTGCAAAGCCGTAGTGTGGTTGGGTTTGTGAATTCAGCTTCTTTCCGTTAAGCTTAACTGCTTGCGTATGTTTATATAATAAATATAAGTTTTAATGTCAGCAGCTCAATCTTTTTTGCAGATGGTAACCTTGTTTATGTAGAAATAGCTTAAATGATTTGATGTCAAACACCACAGGCCAAATAATAACCCAGCGTTCGGTCAAACATTGGTTAATTTTTTTTTTTTACATTAAATAAGATTTTTGTGTGTCTTTTAAATAAGATTTGCAACCAAACTGTTAGGTTTGTCTATATTTTGACCAAGAGTTGTGATGAAACAACCCATTTTTACCATTTTGAAAAATATAGAGAGAAGTAAAAAGTCTACCGAAAAAGGGAGATTACGTTTTATCTACCATCTTAAACCCCTGTCCACCTAAACCCTTACCTGTTTCTTTATCAATAGTTATAAAATGTTTTTATATTTAGGCTTTTTAAAAAAAAAAAAAAAAAAGCAAAATGCATAGGCTATTTTGATAAAATGGGATGTACAACAGAAGAGGTTTTAATCGCCGCTTTCAAAGATGTCATGAAATGGAGGTTAAGATAGTCCTTTTTCGCATTTTGGGACATACGTTGAATTAAAATGGTCTTGAAATGAAAGGGCGGTGGATGATTTCATCCTTTGGAATCCGATTGTAATTTTGGAAGATTGATGTCGGTAACAAAATGGAGAAAAATTTAAAAGTTCAATTCAATTCATCTTTATTTCTATAGCTCTTTTGCAATGTAGTTTGTGTCTAAGCAGCTTAACATAGAAGTTCAAGTAAATTGAATCCATGTCAGTCCAGTTTTGAGAGTTAAAGTTCAGTTTAGTTCAGTTCAGTGTGGTTTCATTTGCACTGCTGAAAGTCCAAACACTGAAGAGCAAATTCATCGATGCACAGCTCCACAAGTCCCGAACCATGCAAGCCAGTGGCGACAGCAGCGAAGAACAAACTTTACCAACAGTTGAAAGTGAAGGAAAAAAGCTAGAGAGAAACCAAGCTCAGTTGGGCATGATCATTTCGCCTCTGGCCAAACTTCTTGCTCAGACAAAAAGTGGACAAAAGCAGAGCAGAAATGAGACACTCACTGATAGCTCAGCCCTAAGGCGTTCCATGTGACCAGAATTGAATAAAGAGAGAAGACTATGCTGCCTCCATAACATGAAAGAAAGCTTTATGGAGTACTTGCAACAGTTCATTGCCTGTACTAGGTGTTATCCCTAGACCACATCAGAGTAAAAAAATTAATAAAAGTTGGATATTGGTAGCCGAGGCACTTCTTATTGTGTTCTCATTCAAAATGGGGAGCTAGTCATTTTAGAGTATAAATATCAGTCAAACTGGCCGTCTACAGGTTGTTAAACTGATCCTGGGGCTCCAAAAGCTCCTCTTAAGTTTTCATTTATAAAACATGCACATATATAATGCCATGCAAAAGTTTAAACACCCCTAATAATTTTCATAATTGCAAGCCATAGCCTGCTGTTCCTTCAAATCAGCAACTTCATTTGGATATATTTTATACCCTAGGGACAAAGCAACATTTCAGTTCTGACATAACACTGATTTAATCAACAGATGCAATGCAATTTAAGTTATAACAAAACGTGAAAAAAAAAAGAAAAAAAAAAGCCTGTCGATGCTTTCTATAGCCAAGGATAAGTCTCTGAATACTACTGAAGGCATTTTGGAACATTCTTCCTTGCACAATTTTCAATGATGTTTAAGTCTGAGGACTGGGATGGCCATTTTAGAACATTGTATCATGTCTGAGCATGAATTCCTTGGTAGATCTGAAACTGTGCTTTAGGTCATTCTCCCGCTGAAACATCCAACTTTGGCTCTGATTGTTAAACATTATTCTTCAGAATTCTTCAGAATGTCACTGGGTGGAATCCAATGCAACCTTTAACTCTGTCAAGGTTTCCAGTACCTGTGCTTGCCACTAATCCCCTCAGCATGATTGACCCTCCACCATATTTTACAGTAGGGAACAGGTTCTTCTCCTGGAATGCTGTGTTGTTTTTCTCTATGCAAAGCACCTATGGTTGTGGCATCTGCCCTTTGAATATTTTTTTCAAAATGATTCAGGCTTGTCCAGATGTGCCTTTGCATACCTCAAACGATTCTTCTAGTTGGCAAAATGGGGAAAAGGCTTCCTCTGCATCACCTTCCATGGAGCTGTTCTTTGTGAGGAGACAATGACATTATCTGCAGCAAGATGTTCCTGGAGCATTTTGGAGGTGGTCTGGGGTTTGCCTTTCTGATTTTTTTTCTTGGCCAACCACAACTTTCCTTCAAAAGAACTGTTCCTGTGGCCTTCAATTTTCTTACTGTGTGAGACTTTAAACCTTTATGACAGCTTTTTGTATCCTCCTAATTTATGTTGATGAATAATCCTGGTTTTTAGGTCATTAGCAAGTTCTTTTGTGGTCCACATGTTTCTACATCATGGTTCACAATAAGGAGAAGCACAACTAGCAATCAGCTATCTTTAATATCCTTTTTCATGACTGGTTGCACTTTTGTTGGGAATGTTAAGGTTCACTGAATCCCTCAAATCAATTTTGTGTTGTAATCAATTATCATCAAGGTGACTGCAGATTTTGTAATCCACTCAAAAAAAAAGGTGCCCAAACTTTTGTATAGCCTATTTTTCAGTTTCAAATGAATTTCACACATCTCAATACTGCTACACTACAGATTTTTGTCTGAAAAAACATGACATTATCTAGCTTTCTCTAGAAACCGAATGGCATTTCACTGCAATTTTCTTTTATAAAAAAAGAGCACATAACTATGCAGCCACAGAGGGGTGGCAACGCTTTGGCATAAAACTATGGAGAAAACTCTCATCTGTGTGAAACACTTGACAGACTGTGTTGTTGTCTCAAATTGGCTAATGTCTAGTCTCACCTGGACCAAAAAGCAGCCTGAGAACACTTCAAATGGACGTTAACCTGACGAGTGGCAACGTGTAGATAACACCAAACCAATTAGCCGGATCAAAGCTAAAACGACGGATTGATGAAGCCCAAAAGCTGACCGCCATCTTGTTGTGTCCTGGACATTAGAACAGTGTTGTTGCTGCTCATTCAATGTCCTTTTATAGAAACACCAATCCAGACTAGGCATGGGTCGGTATTAGATTCTGACAGTATGATAGCCTTGAATAAAAATACCATAAATGTCTTTTTCCCCCTTTGAACACAATATATTTTATTTTTGAAAAACATCTATAATATTTGGTTACAGTATGTCAGGCAAAATAATAATTTAAATAAATCATTGACCTCTGCTTTCTTCATTAGTTCATAAACACAGATTTTAAAAAAATAATAATTTAAAACAGCATATCTGGATATCTTTTTCTGCTGGAGATACTGTTGTCCTAAAATAGTAAAAAAAATAAATAAATAAATAAAAATAAATAAATAAATTAAAAAAAAATTAAAAATCTATATATACAATAGGAACAGTATACCAGAAAATTTGAGTGGTTTTAAAACCTTGTCTTTCCCAAATTGCAGTATACCTATGATTATCATCCCATGCCTAATTCGGATGAATTAACAGTTAGCCCTATTAAATCTTTCACAGCCGGCATCACAGACACAAGACAATGAAATACTATTGCATAGCCACAAAATGCTTTTCCATTTTGTCATAAAATGACTTAAGATGAAAATTGAATATAGGCTAAATAAAGAAAACATGTGAGGCTGTTAGTAAAACATTCTGTGGTTGAGCCTTTTTAACCCAACCCTTCTCTCAACCCCCAACACAGACTTCAAACTACTGAAATCTGGTTTCTCCGCCCCGAGTTACACACACACATTTCTTGTCTGTATGGGGTTTGCAATGCAATAATGTTGAGCTTTTTTTGTTTTCAAATGTAACCTTTCTGAGATGTTAAAAAGGGGGATTTACACATGTGTCTGTTTTTACCTGTGGCTTTTAGAGGGTAAGTTCTGTTTGTCTTCAGCTCTTGTGTTCCTGCATTTACTGGTAGCCCTTAAACTGTATAACATCTTTTGCAGGTTTTATGTTGACACATCAGCAACTTCAGACAAACACTGTAGAGAACTTAATCACATCACCAGCAGGTTTGCTTTTAAGTGATTATTTGCCATATAGCATGCAGAACAGACAAAGAATAGGCTAAATCTCAAGGCATAGCAATTTGCAGCAAAAGGAAGTTAAGCATAGCATTGTTAAACTGATATATTTGCAAGTATGCAAGCATTTGGAAATTATTTATTTTTCTGCAGTTATTTTTTTAAGTACAACACCAGTAAATATCATTTTCACTAAATGCTTTGCTTGTGAATTACCCACAGCTCAAATGTTTTTTTTGTTCATTGTGCATGTCATACACCATATGTCTTAAGCTTTCCTGCCAACTTTTTACAAACGGCTGTGATTTGTTATCTCTTACGGTTTGTATTATTTTTTTCAGTTTTTCGTGGAGATGAACCAAAGACAGTTTCAGTGACTGAGGGAGATTCTGTCACGCTAAACACTGGTGTTACTAAAATACAGAGCAATGATCAGATACTGTGGACATTTTGGCTTAAAAATACAGAGACTCGTATAGCTGAAATCTATAAAGAGAGAAAATATATATATGAGAATGAGATATTCAGACACAGACTACAGTTAGATGAGAAGTCTGGATCTCTGATCATCACAAACATCAACAAACTGCACTCTGGACTTTATAAACTAATGATCATCAGTGGAGGGGTCAAACACAGACATTTTAACATTGCTGATTATGGTGAGTGAATCATAAATTAATTTGTTTATGTGGGCAACTTCTAATGTTCAGATATTGGTAGAGTAGATAAAAATTGTATACACACTGTATGTAATGTACACTGTAAAAAGCAATTAGTTAATTTACTTTTAAAACCTGTTTTCTTAAAATGAATTAACTTAAACCTTACAATGGATTTACTCACTTTACACAAACTCAACTAGTTGCTGTAAAAGCAATGGGTTTAATCGACCTTTTCAAGTTAACTAATCACTTTTTACAGTGTAGGCTACACACCAACTTTATTCATATTTAAATTTAATTTTTTATTTTTGGAAAATTATCCGTACTGCAACTCTCAATCACCAAGTAGAGTGCCCATCAGACATACTAGGGCACTCTGAACATCACAATTGCCACTGAACTGGACTACAAATCTCATCATGACCAGCAGTCACACACCAGTTTCAGTTTATCTTCTGATTACACACACACAGCTGCAGTTCATCACCACTGATTACATGGACTATAAACAAATCATTTACACACACATCCTAGTTGAGTCTTGTTACTGTAATGTGCATTATGAAATGTTTTTTCTTGCCTTGCCATTTTTTAAACCTTGCTTGTTTATAAGGTTTATGATTGTTTTTCTGCTAGCCTCGACCCATTTGCTTGTTACACACACTGTAACAAAAAACTAATTTTACAGAAAATATCTCTAAATTTTATTAGTAATTTTTTTTTGTCATTTTAAATTATATTCAAAACTCAGTAAAATTGAAAAACGATCTCTCTAAACTAACACTGTGGCCTTCATTTTAGATTTTCATTTTTGTTTTCATACAGGGAAATTATTGTATTATTTATGCAGTATTTTTTCTGTTATTATAAATTATATTTAAAAATCTGTAAAAATTACAAACAATATATGTAAATAACAGCTTAACTGTTATTTTATGTATTATATAACTAATGACAAATTACAGCAATTTGTCTGTTTTATGCAATAAAATTGTCATGTTATTTACAGTGTTTTTCCTGTTTTTTAAATACATATAAAATTATGTTAAATTAAAGTAATAAATTCTATTTACTTGTGCACCTTGCTATAGGGTTTATGAATGTTTTTTTTTTATTCTTGTAAATGTATTTTTTTATTTTGTAAAAAAAAAAAAAAAAAAAAAGAAGTAAAAAAGGTTTAAAAAAAGACAAAATGACTGGCCAAATAATCTAGGAAAAAAAGTTTGTAAAATAACAGTGTTTCTTTGTTAACATTTAATTAAAAATATCTGTAGATTTATTATTCTTGCACTTTATTTCAACAAATAGATTTTTATAGTAATTTTATGGTTTTTGTTTGGCAGACATAGCTGCCAGTCATTTGCCCTTTTTTATGATTTTTTTATATGCAGTGCAGACTCTTTGTATTTTCTGTATACTACAACAGTGGTCCTCATCCACCAGGCAATTGGTAGCAGGCCACACAAGAAATCATGAATTATTTCCATTTCATTAATCTGAACGGTCTTTTATTTTGAAAAAATCTTTTATTTTGAAAAATAATTGTATTCTCTTGCTAATGTCTCGGTCTCTTGAGCGTCCAAATTTAACCCACCAGCAGCAAAATGAGTAAGAAACAAATGTATTTTGTAAAGTTTCTTTCGGGTAGAAACTGTCTTAGCCACTTTGTTGCCTAAAAACATACAAACCACCAAAACGTACGACATACGAACCACCCCAAAAAAATTGTCAAAACATTAACCGGTCTGCTGTGATAAAATGGTTAATGACCACTGTGCTACAGTGTGCACCTGTATTGTATTTACGTGCCTGACTACTCTATTAAAAGCTGATTTTGGATCTGACCCTAGTTGTCCAATAGTATCTGGATGCAGCCTTTATGATGCAAGCTGAGATTGCATCGCTCAGAAATGCAATGTCAGACACAATGCTCTTAATGGAGCTAGTGTGAGGGGTAGGGTTAGGGGTGGGGTTCGGTGAGCACATTACAAAGCATTGGATGCAGCTCAGATTACATATGCACAAAGTCTGCAGCCAGACTCCTCTCTGATTAGCTGCTTCAGGTGTGTTTTATTTGGGTTGGAGCTAAACTCTCCAGGACACCGGCCCTCCAGGACTGAGTTTGGACATCCCTGCCTTAAGGCTAATCATAAATATTTTAAGGCTAAAATCATATATTTTGCTATTGATTTAACAGAATGCATGAGCATAGTAGGAAATACCAATATGGCAGGGACTTCACTTTTTAATTGAGTCATAAAAATTTTAGTTCTGTAATAAACGTAGATTGGCGAGTCCAACAAACCAAACTAACAATCTTTCAGAAGTAACAACTGCAACCTCGTAAAAAAGACATTAAAAAATGATCATTAAAATTGTGTTCATTAAATGTCATAGGTAGAGAGAAACTCTGCTCAATGTAGAATGGTAAAAGTACCGTTTTATAAAACAATAAATAAAATACTTAGGTAAGGATACAAGTAAGGCTGACTAAAATAAAAAAAACTCAATTTCAATAAGGAAAAACTTACTTAAGGAAATATTAAACCCTCAAAAGCCCTTAAGCTTCCATTGTTAACGACTTGTTGAACTTGTTTTAAAAAATGGATAATACTATGTCATTAATAATGGCGTTCAAAATCACCCTACAAACATACACATTCGCCCATTGCTTGGAAACCATATCTTAATCATAATTGAGCCAAACAGTTTCATTTGCTTTGTTTATTTTGTTGTGAGCCATTGCTATTTATATGAGTAACCGTCTTACAGTATAATCCATCCAATTCAATGTGGTTTACAGTTAATTTAGAACAACTCTGCTCCATGCCAAGCTTGGCAACGCCCACTAGCTGTTCTGAATTCAGTTTATACCACAGCCTCTAGATACGCATTGAATTCTATAGAGAAACAACTCGATGCGCATATATGTACATCATTTACTGATCACAGTTTTCTGTCTTTTTCAGCACCTCTAACTGTTCCTGTGATCAGCGATTCTCCTCCAAACCCTTCAGTATCAAAAAGATCCTTAAACCAGAACTGTTCGCTGGTGTGTTCAGTGGTGAATGTGAGTGCTGTGAGTCTCTCCTGGTACAAAGGAAACAGTGTATTGTCCAGCATCAGTGTGTCTGATCTCAGCATCAGTCTTTCTCTACCTCTGGAGATTGAGTGTCTGGATGACTCCTACAGCTGTGTTGTGGCTTACTCATTCACAAACCAGACTACACACCTCAACATTACTCAGCTATGCGGGACATGTTCAGGTCTGTGAATAATTATGAGTCGTCTGCTTTTATTGTACCCTGTTTAAAGTCTGCTGTGATTCATTGTTGTTTGCGTTTAATGCATTTCAGCAACCAGACAACTCTTTATTCAGAAAGCTCTAATAATTACTGGTGTAGTCCTGTTGTTGTTGTTGTTGCTGGTGGTCACAGTTGGAGTTATGAAGTTCTGGCACAGGAGGAACAACAAACCAGCAAGTCAGTTATCTTTCATTACACCAGAAAGCCATCAAATGAACTTACCCATTTCTCTTTTTTATTATTGTGATTTTCTGAATTAATTAAACAGTTGAAACTACAGAAGAAGAGGTCGTTTATACTGATGCAACATTTACTACACACAGAGCTCCAGATACTGTAAGATATCACTGCTTTTAATTTCGTCTTTGATCTAAATCTCTTAGTTGGCAGAAATCTTGCTAAGCTGGTATTGTTTGCATGTCTGTTTGGGGCTTTTTTATGCTGTATAGTGCAGAATTTAACCCTCATTTTTAAATGGAACTTTTAGTGTGCTGATGCTTGCTTGTTTTGCGTTTATGTGTAATTAAATCCCTTCCTTAAACCAAAATAAAAGGTGGATTATTCGTGTGTCAGCATGCTTTAAAATGTTAGGTCAACCTCATCATCTGCTGTTGATTTCAACTTCAGTGGTTCTGTGGATTCTGGTCATGCACTAACATGAATAAGAAACTCAACATGACCAGTGCTTCTCAGTCATATTCCTGTAAGACCACCAGCTCCGCACATTCTCCATGGCTTTTTCTCGATTCCAAGAGCGCAGAAAAAGGACTTGCATTCTAGTGAAGATTTGTCTTGCCAAGTCACCTTGGAAGAACAAACCTGAGAACCCAGAAGATGCTGCATTCTTCTTGATGGTCACATGACCTTCACGCATTTTTAACAAAAAATTATTAAACATTGCAGCACTCACATGACAATTTATTTATTTTTTATATATATTTTTAATATATTTAACTATATATTAATATATATATATATATATATATATATATATATATATATATATATATATATATATATATATATATATATAATAAATATAAATAAAACAGATTTTAAAATTAAAATCAGCAAATAAACACCCCTAATGTGTTTATGCCTTCATTAAGATTTTCATGGTAATGTTTACTTTCACCGTCTCAAATAAGTTATATCGCCGACCTTAAAAAAAAAATCTAAAAAAAAAAATAATTCTTGCACTTCCCACCTTCTTTATTCAGTCACAACGACTTCTGGGATTTCTAAAGCGAGTTCAGTGCTCAAGTCTGCATCCACGTATCCTTGATTCCAAGAATGCATGCAGAAACTTGCATGCGTCCTACATACAGTCCTACATCTTCTGGTCTTGTGTTTTGGAACTGAACTTTGGCGGTTAATGATCCTTAACCAAACACACCTGATTCAACATTCACATCAGCTCATTAGCAGAGACTGAAAGACTTGTAAATCTGCGGTCACACTGGGCTTTTCCTCCCATAGACTTCCATTCATACGCACGTGAATGCGTCAGACCGGAAACGCAGGGTCATGCGTCAAGTTTCGCAGGTTGCTGCGGTGCAAAGTTCAAGCTTGGTGAACTCTGACCTGCGAAATTGCATCACTTGACTGCATGAGACCAGTCGAGGATCAAAACATGACATCTCTGGACAGAAATTTAAAACACTGAGCAATCGCGCGCTTTTAAAAATGTCTAATAAGCTTGTTTAATCCTGCCCCATTTCATAGCGCCGAATGACAGAATTTTGCATGCTCAAACTCTAATGTGACCACAGCTTAATGGTTGTGACAGACAAAGGAGAGCTCAACTTGATTTTGCTAAGTGCTAGATGTCCTGGGACCAATATATTTTATGATGACCCAGGGACAACTCTATTAACCAATCAAACGTTATCACGTCATCATTATGTGCCCCCTGCAGAGTCCGCCAAAAACACCCGAAAAGGTAAGATCACCGGTTTTCTTCTATAAATTTACAGAAGTAATGATCGAAAAATTCATATGTTTATGCATTTGCCCTTTTTTTTCCAGAAAAGCAAACGAGTAACATAATGATGACATGATAACGTTTGATTGGTTGATAAAGTTGTTGTCCCTGGGTCATCATAAAATATATTTTTCTCAGGATAACTAGCACTTGGCAAAATCAGGACGAGCCAAAGGGCGACATCCAAAACACGCACTGCTGGTGGTTGAGATGTGGTTGAGAACCACTGGTCTAGGCTACATTTTGGATTCTATTGATAGTCAATGAGCCTTATTTATCATGTAAGAGTAATTCAAAAGCATAAAAAAACTTTGTTAAAAGAACATGAATAAAGATATTCATAAAGAATATGTTCATTAACAGTTTTTTTTTTAAGGTATAGCTGATGTTACTTTGTAAATTTGCTCTTTTATGTGTTAAATGTGTATATTAGAATCATTGGTTTTATATATTTTCCTATTGCGTGTCTCTTTTGTTTCAGAAAACTAAGGGACTGGATCAGACCGAGTATTCAGAAGTGTTTCTGAGATGATGAGCAAGTCTGGTCATGGAGAGAATGCCCTGTTGTTTTCAGGAAGCAGCAGCATGTTGGAATGGATGAGGGTATACTGTAGCAATGCAAAACTGCAGCAACTGTCAGTATGGTTTCAGTATTCATGCTATACACACCAGTAAAGTCCACATTAACCAGAAGCTGCGACTGTTTTTTTCATATTGTGAATCGATTCCTAGAGAAACGAAAAATTAAATGAGACGGTGGATGTGGCTTGTTTTTTTTTCTACTGCGAGCTGAATGAATGTAAAGCCTTCCATACAGAAAGGTCAGTAAAAGGGTTTCAGATAAGTTATTACAATCCAACACACACACCTCCTCCTCATTCTTTTTATTTGCTGTCAAAACTGAGAGTTGTAGGGGTGTAATTAAGTATGTTAACCATGTCCAATACTTCAAAATCATGTAATCTGAGAATTTAACTGAAAACAACACAGGAAGTGCATTTTCAGATTTAGATTTTAGATTAGAATGGCAAACATTTTTTTCTTAAAGACATGCGCTGTCACAAAACTGGCAATGTGAGCTAACAGAATCAATATGGTTGGTTTTTATTTCATTTGTTTCTGATTATTGGCATTGAGGGTTCCTCGAAGAACCTTTAACATGATAGAACCTTTTAATACTGCAGTAGATTAAAATAAAAAGGTATAAGCAAGAACGAGCCAGGCGCTAATTCAGAGCCACTGCTATTGTCGGTTAGGAGCTGGTTGGTCTGGTGAACCTTGTAAGACGTGCTTTGCTTTTCCATCAGCTAAAGCCACCGTAGAGCCAGGTCAGACATCAGTAAATGTATCTTTCCCAGCAACACAAAGCAGAAGCACTGATACAAAACACGCTATCAGCAATCCATTGCTATAAATGTTTACAACTTTGTGAAACAATATCACTATCCAAACACAGTGAAACCAACGTGTTCATAAAGTGCCATAGTGTGTATAGAGAATGATGTCTTCCCTACAACAAACCGTTATTTGAATAGACTGAAACCATAATAAGTTCAACTGCTGCAATTTCAAATATTGCAATGGAAAGATTTCCTTTCGTCTTATTGGTCACAGTAGCCACACCCTTAGCCCCCAGCAAGTTGTTTTTTCCAGTGCCAAGATTCTTACTTCTTACTTTCAGACCAGCAATAATTTGCCCAAGACTAATAATAATAATTAACTTACACTTAAGAAAAGCTTTTATGGTTTAGATTTGGTATTTTGGTGGTTAAAAGACAAATAATCATTTTGTTTCAAATTGCCTTGGTGAAAAAAGGGTCATTAATTAGAAACCTTTTTCATGTTATGAAAAGGTTCCCCAAAGAACATTAGAAGTTCTTTAAAAGAACCATTTTGCTTTGTTTTTATTTTGAGGAATAATAAAATAATAAGAAAATAGAGTTTTCTAAAAAGAGTTTCATGGTGGAAGCCAAAATGAAAAGGGTCTGGCTGCAGACTGGGTGCACATGCAAGCTGAGACTGTATGCAATGCTTTGAGCGTGTACACCTAACCCTGCCGCTAACCCTAACCCTCTAAGTGATATCACTATCTCTATTGAATGCATATGTCTAAAACTGCAAGTCTACAGCCAGATGCTATTGGAAAAAATAGTTTTACATGGCACCAATGCAAAAAAAAAAAAAAAATGTTCATATTTATTAGAAATGAAAAAAAAAACAGAGTTGTCCTATTGTTCAAGAGGCTTTCAGCAGGTTCATGAGAAGCTTAGTAAACCTGATTCAACCTCAATACTGTCTCCACTTGCCAAGTCATCAGAGAAATTCAATGCTAAATAAAATATATTACTGGCATTTACATAGTTATCTTGGTTGAACTACATTTGCAAAGTATTAGGAGAAAGTATTAAGATTTGTTCTTTTTTAATTATTATTGGGTCTATTCTGTTCAGAAGGTTGCATTTATTGATTTATTTATTTATTATATTTATTTATAATTATGTTTTGAAAAATGTCTTCCAGTGTTGCAAAGCAGAATTGTATGTCCATTACGCTTTTGAGGATCAAAACATATAATTTGTTACCATTGTGGAAAATGTCGTTTTGCCCTTTGGGAGAACATTATTTATTACAATTATATTTATAATTTACATGAGTTTGTTGTGTTTGTGGCTCCCTCTTCTGACTGTTTGTGACATTTCCAAAAGTAAAATGCATTAATTTGGTTGTCATGATCAAACAATGTTACTGATGAGGAAGTATCATTGTGTTGATGACCTTATCTCTGTATTCTGAAAGAGTTAACATCAAACTAATTTAAGATCTTTGTAAAATATCATTTTACAATGATAATCTGAGATTTTAGCTTTGATTTGTTTCGAAATATAATAGTACACAATAATTGTGGATAAACATTGTATTATTACTGAACACGACCAGGCAGTTATATTTCCACAAAGTATTGCTTTGATTTGTTAAATTTTATTTAATATATTGTTGTGTAGATATTTGTTTGTGTGGTATTCCAGACTTTTAATGTTATGTTTTGTGTCAAATAAACATTTTGAAAAATTTCCTTCTTTCTACACTGACTATTTTTTGTGTCACTTTTATGCATGTTGTTGGGATTACTATTTAGTGAAGTTTATTTATAAGCTAATTTCGAGAGGATCACATGCTTATGATTATTTGCGGCCGGTCCCACATTATTAAATTTATGATTCACCAATCAGACGATTCCTAAGCCACTATAAATAACCTAAGTTCCATATGACAGCCATCTTTGCTTTGAAGACTCCTCCCTTCCACCCCTACTCCTCCTCCTTTCCTGGATAGGTGGCACAATGGTCCGATGGTTATCACTGTTGCCTTACAGCAAGAACGTCACTGGTTCTAGTCCTTACCAAGCCAGCCGACGTTTCTGTGCGGAGTTTACATGTTCTCCCTGTGCTTACGTGGGTTTCCCCCAGGGTCCAAAAACAAGCAACTTAAGTTTATTGACTAATCCAAATTGGCACCATAGACATGCTCCAAATAAGTAATTATTTCTTAAGAGCAATCACTATCTGTTCGTTAGCCACTACAGCAGGGGAGTTCTCGAGATATACCCGAGCTCAAACTCTTCTCTCGCCCTGCAAACAGGAGGGAGCCCCAGGCTCGAGGATCTTTTGAGCTCAGGGCTCTCTCCCAGGACACAATGCCAAACAAGTTTTATAATCAATCATCAGCTAAGTGTGAACTCTTGAATGAGATACTATTTTTGGTTATGTGATTATATTGTCTTTGTGCGGGTAAAGTTCGGCTGTAATGCTTAAAATGTATTTTATTCATTTATTTTTATTTTTAAATTGCACATTAATATCTGGCCAACAGGTAGCACTTATGTGGGAAACCTGGATCATTTTGAGACATTTACATATATTTACATTTATGTAAATCTACATAATTACTAAAAAAAACATTAGATTTTAGTGTGTGTGTGTGTGTGTGTGTGTGTGTGTGTGTGTGTGTGTGTGTGTGTGTGTGTGTGTGTGTGTGTGCATATGTGGTTAATGAGGACAAATATAAATATGACCCATGTATGACAACGTTGAGATGGTTTATGAGGACATAGATTTAAAGTCAGAATTATTAGCCCCCTTTGATTTTTTTTCCTTTTATAAATATTTCCCAAATGATGTTTAACAGAGGAAGGAAATTTTCACATTATCTCTGATAATACTTTTAATTCTGGAGAAAATATTATTTGTTTTATTTTGACTAAAATAAAAGCAGTTTTATAAACCATTTTAAGATCAAAATTATTAGTCCATTTAAGCTATTTTTCCCAGTAGTCTACAGAACAAACAATCATTATACAATAACTTGCCAAATTACCCTAACCTGCCTATCTAATTAACCTAGTTAAGCCTTTAAATGTGACTTTAAGCTGTATAGAATTATCTTGAAAAATATCTAGTCAAATATAATTTATTGTCATCATGGCAAAGATAAAATAAATCAGTTATTAGAAATTAGTTATTAAAACTATTATGTTTAGAACTTTAGCTGTACCTTGTGTCCTCATCATTTAACACTGCTTAAAATCATACTTACCATGGTTAGTTTCACATTTAATATTTGCCACAGGCTTTTTTTGTGAGGGTTGGGTTTGCTTAAAGCCTTGAAAAAGTGATTTTAAACAGTATAAAATACATTACACCTAAAGAGTCCTCATAAATGACAAAAACCAACTTGTGTGTGCATGTATGTGTGTGTGTGTGTGTGTGTGTGTGTGTGTGTGTGTGTGTGTGTGTGTGTGTGTGTGTGTGTGTGTGTGTGTGTGTGTGTGTGTGTGTGTGTGTGTGTGTGTGTTTGTTTGAAATATGTGACGTCTCATGCACTAGTTCCATCTGTGGTAAAATCTGTGGCCTGTCTTTTTTTAGGGCAGTCATGGTACATTACTGTCTCTGACTGTTATTAGTTATAAGTTTGCAGTCTGCAAGTGTACATATCAACAAATAAAAAGCAGATAGTTTGAGGTATTGGATTATTTCTTTACAGATTTTACCATAGCACCCAGAGGAGACATCTTCAAGATGTTAAACGCTGCTTTCCTCATTCTACGTGTACATTTTATCATTTGTAAGTGTGCTTGATTTAATTTTACCTTCCTCCTTGATGCATTCGTGATTTTGATGCTAAAAGTAGGACTGTCATTTTAAAATACACTGCACTATTTATGTAAATACATATTTACACTTTACTTAATCTTTTTAGTTGTATTTATGTTTCAGGTATGTTTGGGGACGCAGATGAAATTAAATCAGTGTTGGTGACTGAGGGAGACTCGGTCCCACTATACACTGATGTTACTGAAGTGAGGGAAGGTGATCAGATATTGTGGAAATTTGGACATCAACGCACTCGAATAGCTGAAATCATGAAAAGGGACCAAATAGGAGTAAACATAAATTTTGTCTTTAATGGTGGAATATTCAAAGACAAATTACAAATGGACAAACACACTGGATCTCTGACCATCAGAAACATCAGCACTGAACACACTGGACTTTATGAACTGACTGTGATCAGTGAAAAAAACTCAATGAAAAGATTTAATGTCATTGTTTATTGTGAGTATATTATTGCTATATTATTTCTAGTCCAAACTTGTATACTGAATGCTGTACAACAACCACTTCAATACAGAATGCTAATAATAATTTGAATGTGAAAAACTGGAGCTGAAATGATCTACGAAGCACTTTAATAAAACATATGTGATATTTGCTGAAATTACTAGTTTTCATGTAGGGATTTCCATTTTTAGCTTCACAATCTGTTTTTTTTCTCTCTCTCTCTTTTGATTAGCTTTGCCAGAATGCATCTGCAGCTTATTGTTTTATAGATGTATTTATAATAATAACTACTTTATCCTTTCATCTTTTCCAGCTACTCTACCCATTCCCTTTATCAGCATCAACTCATTAAGCAATTCTTCATCATCTGTATGTTCATCAGACTCCAGATGTTCAGTGTTGTGTTCAGTGTTGAATGTGAGTGCTGTGAGTCTCTCCTGGTACAAAGGAAACAGTGTATTGTCCAGCATCAGTGTGTCTGATCTCAGCATCAGTCTCTCTCTACCTCTGGAGGTGGAATATCAGGATAAAAACACCTACAGCTGTGTGGTCAACAACACCATCACAAACCACACCACACATCTGGACATTGAACAACTCTGCCAGACATGTGAAGGTATGAAAGTTAATATTAGTGAATTGTTGCTGTTTTTGCCGAAAAGAAAGTCTAAGTTTGTCTCTTCATGTTCAATATACAGAGTTGAGCCAGAGTATATACTTTCCCTTGATTGTAATTGCCAGCATGTGTCTGTTGGTGCTTACATCTGCTGTTTGTTGTTGCAGCAGGAGGTGTCAACAAGCACAACAAAAGGGCGAGTATTATATTTAAAATTATATAAATGAATACACCATATGATCTATTTTTTGTTGATGTTGGTGTTGAACTTTATTTAATTTTTCATATTTTTTGACAATAACGAAGGCAAAAAGAGAGCAATTAAATAATAAATATATAAATAAATACTGATAACTGAAAATGGCAATAATAGTTCTGTATATGTGTGGGCAGAGAATTAATACTGAAATATTTATCAAAATTAGGCTAATCCTCTTTAATTTATATATCCTAAATATGGACCCTTTACACATTTCTGGGTTTCTCACGGGTGTAACGTTCAACCTTAAATAAGGCAATTTACATTAAAACGTTTTATGTTACACTATGTGTTTATAAAACACTCCCTATGTGGCAGCACTACAACAGAAGTCAACATAGTTAAGTTAACTTAGAGCACAGTGAATGTGAGAGTACAACTAATTATTTTCTTTTAAAATTTGCTGAAATAATAAAAGACAAACTACACTATGGTGTTATCAAGACTTTTAGAACAAGGAAAAAATACTATAAGACTATAGTATGCATTAGAAACACCTTGCACAAGTGATAATTCATTTTTTGTGATGCAAAGATGATATAATACACACATAAATACATGTAAATGTTCATATGTTTTTTAAAAATCTAAATATGTAAACTTTGGATATTAAGATGCTGATGACCTTTTAAACACATCATGACAGTCTTGTAAAAAGGGTCCATTGATCTAGTTAAAATAGCCTATACAATGTGAAAAAATCTGTAATTTTAAGTTTTTTTTCCGGCTTCTGGGGTGCAGGGAAAAAAAAAGTTAAATAATGGCTGTTAAATTTACTGTAAAATAATAGACGTTAAATTACAGATGTTTACCAGAAATTTAACAGTTAACATCCGTTATTTTACGCAAAATTTCTGTCATTTAACGGCCGTTTTTTTACTCTTTTCTTTTTTTTTTAGCTGCTGGAAAAAACTCATAAAAAATCAGTTTTTTTTTTACAGTGTATGAAAGGTGGCCAAATTTGAAAGAATTTGTCTTTACTCTTTTTTTTAAGAGAGAATCAGATTTTTTCTAGCTCCAAACGCTTCATTACATTCCTCATTAGACATATAGAAAGGAGCAGCTTTCTGTTTTCAGTTTAATAATATTAACCTTTGTGCTAGTAGACTGACAACTGGAACTATGGGCCCTATCATACACCCGGCGCAGTGTGGCGCAAGGCGTGGCGCAATAGTCTTTTGGTAGTTTAAGCTTGGCGCAAGAGTCGTTTTGAGGCGTTGCGCTGCGCTGTTTAAATAGCAAATGCATTAGCGCTCATTTGTGCACCCATAGGCGTTCTGGTCTAAAAAGGAAGGCGTTCTGAGGCGGACCGCTGGCGCGTTGCTATTTTGAGAAACTATAATAGATTTTAAATTAGACCAAAACTAACCCGGTCTAAACTCCAGCGCAGAGTTGCGCCTCGCTTACACACTGCTTAATACGCACAAGAGAGCAATAGGCAAATATCTTTACATATGAAAAAATTTAAATATTAAGGATATATATAGGATATAATAAGAATAGATATAGAATATAAATATAAAGGATTAAAATATTACAATACATATTATTTTCTAGCTTACATAAATATGAAAAATCACTGCTTTATGTCTTCATCTCGGGAGGCTTTTTCAGTTCATTCATAACAATTTGCTTTTGAATAATGTTATTATTATTAGCAGTATTATTTATTATATCCATATTTATATTTGTTTTATTAAAAACAAGCTTAGATTTGCCCACCTGTCAGGTTTTAGACCATATGGGGCACAGCATGTGTTTTAGGATATAACTCAGGTTTTTGAAGACATTTTGCTATTATTATTCATTTATTCGTTTGCTGGAAATTAGAACTGAATTTAGAAATAGTTGAAAAGAAAATTTGCGCTTAACAAACAAAATTAATTATTTTAATTATTTTTATCAATTAATTGACTAATTGATGTCTGTGCGTAAAGGTTTCCCTATCCAAGAGCGAATCTGAAAGTAGATCCATTATCTCTCATTCTCACGCAGTAGATGCTCTGTTTAACAGTTTTCTGTTAAAAAAACTGTTAACTGTTTGCTTGTGAAATGCTCATTTTTTCCACTTAGACTTACTTTGCATCCTGTAAATAGCGAATGCGCTCTTGGCGCGATGTAGCTGACTCTTAAAGGGAATGGGAGATGAGACTCTGATTGGTTTATTCTTAAAACACACCTATAACTCATTAAAAAAATAAACTAAACCCTTTTAGACCATGCGACAGGCGCAAGGCAGATTTTCCAGTCCTTAAATTAGCAAAAACGCAGTCTGACACGCCCTGAAAGCGTTTGCGCCCTGCGTTTTGCGCTCTGCGCATGGACCGTCAAAATAGAGCCCTCTGACTTTAAAATCAGTTGTCTATGTTGTTGATATTGTCAACCAATATATTGTGGTAGACATTTTATAATGCTTGAATGTTAGTTGGAAATGTCAGTAGTATTATTGTAAACCCATTTGCTCATAAAAAGCAATTAGTTGGATTTACTTAAAAAAGAGAGTAAACTCATTGCCTTATGTTTACAAGCTATGTGCATAATTACATACAGAAGTTAAGTCAATGGGTTTACTGAATTAAGTAAAATCTGCTTGTTTCTTTTAAGGCAACAGGTTTACTCACTTTAAGTAACTAATCACTTATTACAGTGTATTACCACTTCACAATAATATTGTATTAGTTAATGTTAATTAATGCATTTGTTACAGTATTTGTTCATGCAAGTTAACGTTAGTTAATGAAAATACAGTCGTTCAGTGTTAGTTCATGATGCATTGATGTTAACAAGCATGAATTCGCATGTTATGCATTAGCAAATGCTGAACTATGATTATTAAATGCTCTACACGTATGTTAGTAAATACATTAACTACCATTACTTAATGCAGTGTTACTTAATCATGTTCCTGTAGGACCACCAGCTCTGCATATTTTCTATGTCCCCTTTTTCCAAACACACGTAATTCAGATCATCAGCTCATTAGCAGAAACAAAAAGACCTGTAATGAAGGTGACAGACAGAGGAGACATCCAAAACATGCAGTGTTGGTAGTCCTCCAGGAACGCGGTTGAGAAACTCTGACCTAATGAACCCTAATGTTAATTTGACCATTAACATAACGTGTATATTCCACCAGATGGCAGAAAAGTAATTATATACCCAAAATCTCTTTGTTTTTCTCTCTTTAGATGTAAAACAGCAAATCATGTCAGAATACATGCAAGTAATCTTCTGTCTTCAGATGGCAGATCTGCCACTGGTCAGTAAAAACATGAATCATAGGTGACTTATTGTATATCTGGACGTCGTTTTGTAATTGTATGTGTTTTTCCTTTATAGACAGCCTTGCTGGATGTGGACAGATCAGCGACAGCTGTCAACTATCAGAAAACAAAACAGTGAAACTCAATATATAACGCAGCACCGCTTTTGTTTTATAATCCAATATTAATTCACAGTAAATATTTGGAAAGTAAAATATCAAAATTAATATTATTTGATGTAAAACTACATTTTAACTACAAAATATAAAAAAAAAATAGATTTTGATAAAATATAGCAGAATACTTTTCCACCCTTGGCAAATGTGTTTCTCAGATCTGAAATCTCATATAAATGCTCCATCGAGTCAGCTTCAATGTTCTTAAGGGCTTTGTTGTCTATTGCAGACCTGGTTTGTGAAATAGAATAAGAATAAAGCCTTCCCCCTCACATTTAATCCTGGTTTATTATATGTGCTGCCCCTGAGCAGATGGTGATGCTTGATGTGTGTACATGTGCTTTCATCTAGTATAAAGCACCTCCAGGTGTGCACATATCACTTTTCTTCTGGGGGATGAGAACAAGGATGAAGAAAAACAGCTCAGATATCACCACGACGACTTGTCTGAAAAAAAAATCTGCTGTGTACAAAGATCTGATCAAGTCCATTGTTACAGGGCACCATCTGGTGACTGAATAATCAGCCTGATCTCACAAGGAAATGTAACTAGTTTACGTTTTGTCAGTTTATTGGCTAATTCGAATTCTGACATAGGAAAATGTTACCTTCTTAAAAGGAGGTGTGGCACCCAACTCCACCCCTAAACCCAACCGTCATTGGGGATAAGCAAATTGTACTAAATTATACGAATAAGATTGTACATTTTCATACAAATTAGCCAATAAAAAAGTTATTAAAACGTTTGGCCTAATTCACAACACTTTCTTCTATTTGGAGTCTTCTAAATGAGCAACTGCATGCCTGAGGTTAGATATTTGCATAATACACAGCCAAACCTACTCTATATATGGGGGGGAAAACAGCACTCATCCAATAAGGCACCAAATAAAAAAAAATTTAAAAAAATGTAACTGCAGAAAAAATGCCTGATGTCATGCGCTCTAGCACCAAGACTGCTGAAAAGTTCAGTGGCAGATTTAGGCATGGACAATATGAGCGATCACCCTGGGCAGCATAGGGAGATGAAGAAAAAAAAAAGTCCCCTAGTAAAAGCATTGAGATACGATTTACTTTATGCAAGTGTATTAATTTAGAGTGTTAATAAAGACGTTAGGGGTCATTCACATTTGCCATCTTTTGTACACGTTTATTATTCTATGTGCAACCAAAACAATGCTGGTGAAAGCACACTGACACATGCGTGCAGAAAACCATTCCTGCGCACCTCACGTGCTCCTGTGTGACCCTGGTTGTTTGCATGCACCCTGATAAAATATGTGCCCCTCAAGCATCGTGAAACCAGAGTAACAGCCTTTTGTCCAGAGGTGTCAGCACGCAGTGAGTTTTACAAGTTGACAAAACTAAAGTTTATGTAATACGATGATGATGATGATGATGTTACTTTCACTAAACATGGCCATGAAGCAGAAAGTAGGGATAATGAGTCAGGGAGGTAAGATTTCATAACATTAATTCTCGGCCATGAGTCGGGTCTAAGACAACAACAATTCTATAAAACATATTTATTTTTAGTA